ATATGTATAACTACGCAGTATTTTTTATAGCTGAGCAATAAATAAAGCAATTGAAATTTCCACAAAAATCACATGTTTCAGATTTAACCAATAAAAAAATTACAAAAAAGGAGTAAGTTTCAAATATAAAACAAACTCTAAAAAAATATTTGTTTTTCTTTAGTGAAAATCTCATGAGTGTTGCAACAGAAAAGCAAGGCACTTTCATTGATAACTGCATCTACAAAGAAATACTTCAATAAAATCTACTCTGTGATGTAATGCTGTGATGACAGCTCATTTTAAAACTAAAATCAAGCAACAGAATTTATGAAGTAGATCGGTTGCTTTTTATTTATTGTTCATGTGTTCTTATACCTAGCAGGCCTAGTGTGACCTGGTGGTTAGGGTGCTTAGTTCTCAATCTGCAGGTTGAGGTTTCGAATCCCTGTCAACAAACATGCTCACCATTTCAGCTGTAGGGGTGTTATAATGTGAAAGTCAATCCCGCTGTTCATTGATAAAAAAATAGTTCATGAGTTGGTGGTGTTGACTAGCTGCCTTCCCTTTAGTCTATCACTTCTAAATTAGGGATGGCTAGCATAGATAACCCTCATGTAGCTTCACCCAAAATTCAAAATAAACCAAACTTTTTCTCGTGGATGGTGAACATTATTGAATGTCAAGTATGAGTACATTGTTGTAGAACTGTCAAACAATTCCAGAAAAGGCCACAGGAACTAACAGTTATACCTGCCCAGAGGGCGAGAATTTCTGCTAGTAAAGATAATATTTAAAAAATACCCTAATATCAACGACAGACACTACTTTGAACCTGGTCATTAGCAGCCAGCTAATTCAGAGGTAAAGTGCCTGTGCTAGCGCCAAGGTTAGAGGTAAAGTGCCTGTGCTAGCGCCAAGGTTAGAGGTAAGGTGTCCCTGCTGGTGCTTAGCGTCAAGGTAAAGTACTTATCTGCATACATGACCTATTTTATCTAAAGATAGTTTGAAACACGCTCAGAAAGAAACTTTTGATGGTGTATCAACTTGAATGCGATTCTTCGTTGTCTTAGAAAGTCGGAAGTAGTCTTCGGTGACAACTTCCAAAATGAGATAAAACTTATAGTCGGTACTGACCCTTCATATGGATTACTACAGCCATTTCTAACTGGTCAGTACTGACTCCTCATATGGATTACTACAGCGACTTCTAACTGGCCGGTATTAAACCCTTATACTGATTACTATAGTTACATCTAACTAGTCGGTACTGACCCCCCTCATGAAGATTATTACAGACACATCTAACTGGTCGGTACTGACCCCTCATTAGGATTATTAAAGACACATCTAAATGGTCGGTACAGACCACTCATTAGGATTACTACAGCCACACCTTACTGGTCGATACTGACCCCTCATTAGGATTATAACAGATACATCTAACTGGTCGGTACTGACCCCTCATTAGGATTACTACAGCCACACTTAACGGGTCGATCCTGACCCCTCATTAGGATTATAACAGTTACACCTAACTGGTCGGTACAGACCACTCATTAGGATTACTACAGCCACACCTTAGTGGTCGATACTGACCCCTCATTAGGATTATAACAAACATCTAACTGGTCGGTACTGACCCCTCATTAGGATTATTAAAGACATACCTAAATGGTCGGTACAAACCCCTCATTAGGATTATAACAGATACATCTAACTGGTCGGTACTGACCCCTCATTAGGATTATTAAAGACATATCTAAATGGTCGGTACAAACCCCTCATTAGGATTACTACAGCCACACCTAACTGGTCGGTACCGACCCCTCATTAGGATTATAACAGTCACATCTAACTAGTCGGTATTGTCTAATTATATAAACTTCTTGTGCTGTTTCTTTTCTGGGGCAACTAAAAGCTTGACTTATTAACAAAAGTTTTTCA